ACCTGACTGAAAGACTAATAGTCTGTCTGAACTATGTCATTGACAACTAATCCTACGGTGCAACTCCACTTGAATGAAAGGCTATTACTTTATATGAACTATGTGATCAACACCTAATCCTACGGTGCAATTCGAGGCCACTGAAAGACTATTAATTTATATGATCCATGTCATCGACAGCTAATCCTACGGTGCAATCCGAGGTTCATACGACAGCTTAGTATGAACGATGCCGTCAAAAGCTAATACATCAAGTGCAAGTCTGAAGAAGTAGTCTTGAAGAGTATTATAGTGTATTAGTTTATTTGAACTATGTCATCCACAGGTAGTCTTTCTCTGCAAGTCGGTTGACCGAAAAAGCATTACTTTGTATGAGCTATGGCGTCGAGAGCTAATTCTTCGGTACAGGTCGCTTGACTGAAACTTTATTAGTTTGTGTGAACTATGTCATCGACAGCAAATCCTACGCTGCAAGTCGACTTGACTGCAATTGACAATGAACAAGTAGAAAAATTGTCGACAACTACTTCGAAAACACGACAATCAACGATAACACCAACGAAACGACAGTCAGTTATATCATCTGGTACAGAAAGTGAACAATGGAAAAATTATAGAAATGATCTTGATAATGGAAATATTCTTCGTAAGTTTGAAAACCTAAACAATAATCATGGAGGGCTTTTATCATTCAACAACTTTTTATCCACAAGTACCAATCCAAAGATAGCACTCATGTTCCTCCCAACTAGATCGCATCTTCAATCTGTTCTTTTTGAAATAATTGCTGAATATCGTCAAGGCACAAAACCGTTCTGTAGCATTAAAGAAATAAGTAATTACAATGAAGAAGAAGAAGTCCTTTTCCCTATCGGAAGTATATTTCGAATTGAATCAGTTGATAACCTCAGCAACGGAGTCACGAAGATAAGCTTGACATTGACTACACAAGAGGATGAACAGCTGAAGCAATTAAGACAACACATTCGCATGGAACTCGGAGAAGAGTTAGACCTGAACGTCCTCGGAATACTCATGATAAACATGGGAGAATATCAGTACGCTCAGCAATATTTCACAACATCAATTCAAAAAAAAAAACTCGCACACCCTGATATTTCACAAAACCACAATTATATCGAACTAGTTCATACTAAGAACGGCGAATACGATAAAGCATTAGAGAATTATGAAAGGACACATCAAACTAAATCCAAGTCATTGCCATCCAATCATCCATCATTAGCAGCTACATAT